GAATTTAAAACCGCTGAGTCGCTGACTTACCGTTGAGTGCTGAGCCTATCATTTCACGCAAAGCCGATGGTTGGTATCTGGCAATCAATCAACCGAACAAATGGCCAGTTCATCATCAAACCACAACGTTGTAACTAAGGTAAATAGGGAATTTTCTTGCTCTGCGCCACGCTGCTGCAACGCCAAGATGGGAAAGACCAACTCTTGAGTGTCAAAGCACTGATGCGTGGTTTATGGCATCCAGAAATACGTGCGCGTTTGTACGGATTTTCTAGTGATGTGCTACTACAGCTTTCAGCCACCTTATTTACGAATTTTCCAGAACTTTTACTTACTATTAACCCCAAAATTTTCAAATACTTCCTTACTACGTATTACTTACTTTTCCAGTTTTTCCCACCCAATTACTTACTAATTATACTAAATAAAGTGTATTTAATTTTTTATTCACTGCTGTTATTAGAGTTGGGACACTTGTGCATTTCATGAAGGAAACCAAATTACTGTACTTGCTTTATGCGAACCTACGGACTGTATAGCTGAAATTATCTGCGGAGGGGAAATCCGATTTCTCCTCCGCAAAAAATTCCAGCCAACCTTGGCAAGGCGGCGCTATTCCGGCATACTTGGATTTCCCTTGGCTGCTGCTATCAGGTAGCGAAGCAACACGAAACGGTAAAATTTGAGAGTCATCCTGCCGGAGATCTCTATGCGGTAGAACAAGAGTAGTCTAAATGCATCCATCAACACTGGAATTATTGTGTCAGCGGTGTATCCGGTAATAGCGGCCAGAGAGGCCTGCATGTGGCATGCTCAGTGGAAAATGGTTTATTTAGCGCAAGCCGACTTGAATATCGATCGAGTATTTGGTGGAGTTGACGGTCATGCGGCACTCATGCCCACCTGTTTGGCGTCGTCGCCGGCCGTTTGCATCGTAATACTGTAAATCATGGTGGAAAACGCAGTATCCGAAGTTCCCGTGCTCAACCTAAGCGGAATACTTCCAGAAAGCCATACGTGACCGTTTGGCTTTCTCAACAATGCTCAGAATAACCGAAATGTACAGTATGGCTCTTTGAAGTCGGACACTTATCGGCGCGGAGTATGGCGGCTAGGTCCTAGTTGGCTTGAACTTCCCAGTAAATGTAAAAGAGCAACGTAAGATTTGGTGAAAGTACGGTTATTGTTGCATGCACATATAGTCTCCCACACTGTCGTTTGGCTGAACTCGCTCAAAATAAAATTTTGCAAATCTAACCCACAACTCAACCGTCCTCCGTGCCTTGCCGGCAATTCGATTTGTTTTGCGATACGCATACTCAGTTGTACTGATTGGCTTGTAACGATCAGGCCGGCCGTGCTTGATACCGTACGCGTACCGATGCAGTACCAGCACTACTGCCTAGTGCCTACACAGAGATGTTTCTACCACAATGAGCCGGCCCGCGCTCAAGCTCGGACTTGGAATCGGACTTGGACTACTAAAACTTGGACTCGGACTTCACTTGGAATCTAAAACTGGGACTTCACTTAAAATTAGACTTGGACTTACTTGGACTTTAAAATTTAGACTCCACTTAAAATTGGACTTGGACTTTATTTGGACTCTAAAACTTGGACTTTAAGACTTAGACTTGAATTTAGGCGTTTCTTATGTTTCTTACCTATGTCTTCTTACGATTCCTCATGTTTTCTTAGGTTTCACAGTCTTAGGTTTTTAGGCCTCTTAGGTTTCTTAGGTTTTCAGGTTTCTTAGATTTCTTAGGTTTTAAGGTCTCTTAGGTTTCTTAAAACATAAGAAACGCCTAGATTCAAGTCTAAGTCTTAAAGTCCAAGTTTTAGAGTCCAAGTGAAGTCCAAGTCCAAGGTTTAGTAGTCTGAGTCCAAGTCCGAGATTGAGCGCGGGCCCAATGTGCCCTGTCAGCCTGGTATACCGCCTGCATGGTGACGATACAGCGAAAATATGGCTAACGCACAATGACGCGCATCGGTTCCCGTGAGCCGCATTACCGGCAGTACTTCCCTTCCCGCGTGCATATTCCGGCCTTGATTTACTCGTAAAGTCGATACGTAGGAAGTAGTGCTCTAGCTAGACCACGGCTGGTATGCCACGGCAAATACAACTCGTAAAGCTTGAGTGCGGTGCTAACGTTTCGAAGAATAACAACGTAGCTCATTCTGGAGAGCGACCGAATGTTATTAATTACACATGAGTTAAAGACTGCGGTCAACATCACCTCAGTTTCCAACTTTTGTAATTTACAGAAACGAATTGAGCACTGAGTCTGAATTAAGTCACTCACTGTACAGACTCTGAATAATATCTGTTGTGTACTGTAAAGTTATCTGTTGTGTTATTGTGTCTAATGGATTAGCTGATATTTACAGCAAAAAGCGTAATCAGACGGTGATTATTTACCCGGAATAATACCATACCCGTAAACTCAGCCTTCAGAATTTCCGATGTGAGAGAGCATATTTTCAGGGCCAAATACCAGATTGTCCAGGAAAATCGCGAGGTAACCGACTAACCAGACAGTTGTCGCAAAGTGCGGAGCACCACCATGACACAACAAGTGTCAAGATGGAATGCCAGAAGCGCGTGTTGCCACAAGAGTCAAGTGAGGCATTCCTTTGATCTCCACGGTTATATTTTGTCAGCAGGGTGTACGAAAAGCACACGAAGCAGTTCATGATTACGAATCCGCTGAAAGCAGTCTGAAAGGTTGCGAGCGCAAATTTGCCGGGGAAACGGAAACTGTACAGTAACGCACACCATTGGCGAATGCTAATAGTTTTGAATTGTTTCGTTGAATTGTTTAGGTATCACTAAATTACCCTTCAAAAACACACCTTGCTCTAGTTATGATTCCTCTCTGTTTGCCTGCAGTAGGACATCAAAAGAAACGATAAAAATGCGGGTGGCAGTGTTGAAAATACTGTTCGAGTACTTTGTTAGTGCATTGACTGCATTTCAGTAAGCCATGGTTGTTCCTGTTGCCGCCAGCCACAGAAGCTGTCAATTCAATCAAGTGATTAATATATTGATTCCTACAGCGCAATTGAAAAAATATTGAGAATGTCGAAGTATGTTGAGTAAGTATTGTAACGAGTGTTAAGTTTAACACAGTTAAAAGTAATTTTACAATGACAGTTTGCTGATACACCCGTGCTCTACGCAGAACTTCCACCCGAATCCACCGTTTGCTGGTCTCATCACTTGCGCAAAGCTGACACGGCCACGAAAGCCTCTTTAGAAAAAGATGTCGAAGCAAAAAGCGTTCAAATTGCGTTCAGTCACGTTTACGGCATGTCTGCAGGTAAGAACGAGGTTGCAAAATCTGGCTTGCAAACTTGTTAACATGTATCTGTACATGGCTTACAGCTCGCCCATAAGTGGATTTACTTCTTAGCTTTAATTGCAATGAGACCAGGCATAGAAAATGTATGTACAGATAGGTACCGGTAACAGACGAAGGTTTAACTTAACTTTATTGAGTTCTAGGCGACAACTTAGTCACACAGATAGGTTAGTACCATATGCTCACAACTTAGGTTTAGTTTTGTAAAAGCAGTAGTTTGACAGAATTCTTCATCAGGCAATGAACTTTGAAGGAACACATAGAATGTCAGTTGTTGTGATCAAGGTCACGTAAAAATAAAGTAAAATACAGCAAGGTCGATAATAGCAGCAGCGATTCCCATGAAACATTTCACATAAGTGTTGACATGAAATTCCTCGCAGGCGGCGAGTTGTTATGGTGTTGTCTCTGTTGTGATACTGACAGCGTTTCCAAAGTATGCAACTTCGTAGTTGATCATGCGCTCCCAAACAGCTGGATAAGATGTGGACAATTCGATAGTATTTCGTGCAAGAATGTGCGACGAAAAACACACAGATGATAATTAAGCATAGCGGTTAATTTCAGAAAGTAGCTGATTGTCAAAATAAAAAGGATTTAGAGTATGAAATTAACATTAGATTATAAGTTATTTTACATAATTTTGAAAAATTAAATAGATCGTGCAGTCAGTACGCAGGCGCCAAAAGCAGGAAAAGACAGAACGAAATTTCGATTTGTTAAGTTGTTAATTAGTTCATACCATGCGATTTGTTAAGTTGTTAATAAGTTGGTTACTTCACGAAGATACGTCCGTAATTTTCGTTAGCATGGCGGCGAGGCGTCATCCCGTGGATACCATGCTTCGTCGATTTGAATTTGGCTCTTTTCCGCTTACCGATTGGGAAAAATTCCGCAATTTCCATGTGGAGTGGTCCTGTTTATTGTCGATTTTGATGGTACAGATAGCATGGAAAACAGAGGAGTATCCAGATTTAGTGGTGGCGTCGGCAGAGCCAGTTGTGTTAACATGGCTTTGGGTTCCGATAGACTTAACGTATTCAGTTGCGGAATAGTGGTTGAAACTGTCGGAAATGTGGTTCGCAAAACGTAATGTTTCGTTCTCAGAGGTATTCGAGGAAGCTTCTTCACTGCTGAGTTTCTCAAAATATTGTTGAAGATATTCGCAGATATCGTTCCCCAGTTTTGTGAAGATGGCAGTGTTGTCTTTGATGGCAGTGATAAGCATTAGCTTCTTTGAGATAATCGTAAAATCCACGCAATCTGGTAAAAGTAATGTCGTGATTATAGACAAACATGATTTACGTAGCATAAGGCAGCATTAGAAAGGTCACGGTAGCATACGGCAATCGTGTAGTTGTGCGGTAAAGCAAACGCCTGGTCGGGTTCCAATGGTTTACGTACGTGAGTAAAAGTGCTAAATTTATTGATCGATCTCGACGTGAGCAAAAGTGAGCGTTTAATACGCTTAGCTTAGCTGATTTTGTGTTGACAATCATTTGTACGGCCGACAGAGAGATGGCTGCATGCGATTAGCCACTTTCTTTTAAGCGCGTATCGTTAGTACCGTACAAAGGTCTCTCGGAAGCGCGTACACGTCGAAACAAACATAAGATAATTATTTCGATCAGTACGAGCAGCAGCTTATCCAGCTGTCTGATAAATTTGCCGCAGGTTATCCTCTGTCGGCTTCCGGTCCCGGAAATTCAGTATGTATATGAACGAAGACGGTACACGGTTCGTGTACACATGGGACGCTGTGGATGTGGAGATGGACGGTTTGCTGCAGCACGGCTACATCATCGGTCTGGATGACACCGAAGGGACTCCGCGTCTGATCGTGGATTTCGGATGCCCGACACAGAACTCGGTGCTGGTGGATTACGGAAAGGTGTACAGCTGCTCCGCCCATCCGTCCGGCAGGTGGCGCCGTGAGCCGGGGGTGGCAGTGGAGGTGCTGCTTTTCGAGCGTCCAGATCGTCCCTGGAAATGGTATCCCGCAACCATCCTCATCGAGGCTTTCGCTAAATTGTTCGACCACGACTTGGTGGACTGGCCGAATTACGCCGACTTCGCGTGGGTGGAAGGGACACTCGGTGCTCATCATTTTCGCGAACTGCTGCTCTTTCGACAGATCCGTCCCCCGTCGACGGAAAAACAACTGCAGCGAAAGCTTCTGCAACCGGGTCATTTCGAACTGCGGACGTGCAGCGTGCCGAACGGATACTGGACGCTGCAGGGATTCCTGACCGCGGAAGTGCTCCGGGAAGTGGAGCGGAAGTTCAACTTGCGGTTTACCAAGATTCTCAGCCAGGAGATGCACTACGTGCAGCGCCGCGCCCCGCGTCCGATCCCGGATGCCACGATTGTAAGTTCAAGGCAGCTAGTAGTTTAATGCCCATGAAACCTTCGGATTTGCGCATTGCGGTTTGCGTAGGCGTTTATTAACCATGCGTTGCTCAGTCGTTAGGGAGTATGTTCACGTAATAATATGATACTGCATCATATCCTTGATGCATTCTACGAGAAGATGTCAGTAGCGCACCAAGATGATCCCTGTATTTGCTGATCTTACCCGGGTGGTGCTAAACATGGTGCTTATGTACCGCGCCAGATTTAGCCATATGTATTGCCGCAACGTCACACTCCCGCCGGGTGACGGCAGCAAGTACGGAGATTATCTAGGTGGGCTACTGAGTTTCCCTCTGATAATACTTACCATTAATGTAACATAATCTTTATTGCACCATATATCAGACAAGAAACAGCTGCGGCTTCGCCTCCGCGTATCTTGTGATCCAAGGCCGGAACCAACGAGTAGCTTGGTCAATCATTCACGTAGCGATTTTGATCACTTTATAGTGGTGGTAGCTCGTTCGGTGGTAGCTCACTGGACAGTAGTGGTATCTCGGTAACTCACTCACTTGATTAGCGATTTTGCTCACTGGACAGTAGTGGAAGCACGGTAACTCACTCATTCAGTTAGCAATCTACTTAATTAGCAATTTACTTAATTTTTTGGTTGGTGTTGTTATTGTACGAAAATAAGTTCAGTCTATTCCGTTTAATTTGCGTATTTCATAATGTATGTTGCGTATTGTATCCAGGCAAAATTTTTCTGTTTCAAGGTCACCTTGAAACTGGGTTGGATCGTTTGCGGCATCGTGCTGGCACGATTATTAGCGGACGCATTCAAAAACAAAAGTCATGTGACGCAGTTCTGGTCCACGGCCGATCTAGCTATGGTAGCAGATTTTTTTTAAAGTTTGTGGTTAGAGAGATCTCCAGACTGTGGGGAGGCTGCGCGTAATATTGAACGTTTTCTTAATGATGCAGTAATCCGCTTATATACATAACAGTTGAAGGTTTACGAGTGGACTTGTAAACAAGACAACTAGTGTAGCGAAACTGGTACGTACAGTACAGTATATGGAACTGCTTCCTGGTGTATTATTCATCGACATTAAATTTATCCTATCGTACAAAATGTTTGTTGCAAGTTCGAATGTTTTGTCGTATTAGAGACGCGGTTTTTTGGGAAGCACAGACAGGCCATAATAAAAGATTCCCGCCGCTTGAAAAAGACAGAGAGTGAACTAAAAAGAAAAACGCGGTTCGTTGTGGATGGGCGCGGATTAGCGTTACCTACAGAGCTCTTAAAAGAGGTCTTCCTCTCACTGGACACCGTCGACCAACAGCGCTGCCGACGCACCTGCCAACTGTGGGAGGCCCTGCTCACTTCGGCGGAAGTGTGCAAGGAGGTCCGCCTAACGCTGGAATACCGCTACTTCTGTCCAGGCTGGGTGCGGAAATGGTTTGCGGACTATGGCGCGTATGGTTGCCTTCTGAAGCACATCACGCCAGCCACGTGAACCGTCTGCGTTCAGGATGCCCGGGTCGACTGCCGGAAGCCGGGATCTCTGGAGTACGCCGACGAACCTGTCAGTTTGTTGAAGAAGGTGCTGACGCTGCCGGGATCCGCATTGACCGGTTGATCGTCCACCAGCGCTCGGTGAGGATCGAAGGTCCGTTCCCGTTGCGTATGGCTGCTGCTGCGATGGTCGAACGGCAGGCTGCGCTGACGTCCTGCTGTGACCGTTGGATTTGGAAAGATTACTCGGTGAAGCTTTGTGAAGGCTCCAACTTTAATGTAGTGACAATACTGGAACTGCGCATTTCATTGATGGCTTTTGCTGTGGGTAATGTGGATGTGGGTCAGCTTTGGAATATGTTCGAGAAGCATCTGTGCTGCATCGGGCAACCACTGGATATGGAGCGCATTGCCCGCTGTCTAGCTACTTGCTTTGGCAAGTCTGACGCGCATCCCGAAGCCAGGAGGTTCATACAGGTAATAAAGGAACACCGTCATTTTATGATTTTAGGCTTTCCAGAAGTGTATCAGTTCTACTGCATATGCTCACGGTTGGTCATAGGTCGCAAACGAGTACGAAGTTACTGTTCTGTTACGCAGTCGAGTACGAAGTTTTTCATACCCTGCAGATTCTGGGGGTATTATCAAACCTGCGATCCGCGTCCTTTAGCGCATTACTCAGGAGTCACATGGACGGCGGACGCGGTGGCCAGGGTGGACGTCCGCAAGCTATACACGTTGTGCCGGCAAGTCTTGTGGCATTTTGTCCAGAAATGGGGTTAAGCCCACTTGGATGACGTTTCTCAAGCTACGGATGTCAGCAGAAGCGGTAGACAGCTCGTACGGTTCCCAGTTTATCAATTGCACGCTTACCTGCGCCGCCATCTTTATTTTATTCTCCAACTGTTCGGATCTGGACTAATTGATCCATCCGATTTTCCACGTCCGTTCTGTGGTGCATTCGCTACGGCGGTGCAGCATAATAAATCGGGCGCGAAGCGGTAGCCACTGGAGCAACTTTTAACTTGATATGTGGCAGACTGATGCAGTAAGCTGTACAGTATAGCACGACAAAGTGAAAATACTACGGGGAATACGGAAAAACAACATTCCAATAGGGCAACGACAAGTACTTAATTCTCGTTAGCTGTACAAAAAACGCCGAACCTGAGCCACATTTTACAAGTATACGAGTATTATTGCGTGTAACTTGACAACGCACTTGTGGAATCCAAAGATTGCACTGCAGATTTTTTTGCAAAAATGCAGTTGCCTATTCTACAAAGAATACGTAAGCAAAAAAATCATTTTGCCCTTGAATAACATGCAGAATATTCATAATAGGTGTAGGCTTTAAATTTAACGCTTAGTGCTAAGGACAAGGAATCGCTCCCAATCGAGATCCAGAGACAAATTAGAATTATACAACTACACGTAAAATAATGCGTAAACTTAAGCCGCCACAGAAAAGAATATTTAATGCTATCGTATAAGAATGGTACCAAATTCCTTCGCACAAGTGCGAGAGACGGAAACATTGCTTCTCACCAAAAATGGTGCGGAAACGCTCTTCGCCCCGGCGTACTTCTGCTTTAAATGCGCAGACCGGACCGACGCTAACAGCTTAACCGTTGTTGTTTTTTTTCAAAACAGAACACACGAATACGTAGACGAAAATCAACACATGTGACGTGTGGGAGTAGGATCACACGCCGGAGTGTACGTACGGATGCTGACTGTCCGCCTTCCACCTGCAACACAAACGAATATCTAGTCAATATCTACTGTGATTTGCTGTTCTCTTCTATTAGCGGTGTATGTGATGTCATAGCGCGAAGTCTATATAAGTTCTTGTCACTTCTAATATCGGGGATGAGTAGTCTGAGATTTGCTTCTGAGACTGCTTTTCTAATTACGATTTCCTAGCGTTGTGGACTGTGAAGTGCATCAATAAAGAGGCAGCAATACCTGTTCCTTCTGATGTACATGATCGTTCCCGGATTATTGCATAGAATACAGGTTTGCTCGCGATACAATCGTCCTAGCTCTTTGTTGATCCTCATAGAAACTGCGACCGGAAGTTGTAGTTGGAGTGTTCCGGAGGGATTCCTGAGTTCTCATGTTCCTGAGTCGTTGTCGTTTCCACCATAAGGATCTGTTACAGTTTGAGATGAGAGTTGCCTACCGATTGAGCATTACAGTCGTGGAAGAGTAAAGATTGTTCATGGAGCTCAAACCAGCGTGAACGCTTATACACGACATGGCGCCCACCGGTGTCTTTTAATTTTCCCGATGTAACGGAAAATTATTGGTGGAAAGTTTGGTGGTAATTTACAGTAAAGTGGTCCGTACAGAAAGGCGTTGAATCGCAAAGGTACGCCGAAGGAGTCAGCGTTCCAGATCTGGCCTAATTTAATTTATTTTGGCGAGCTTCCTCGCAATTTGTGAGCTTCCTCACTGGTGAGCTTCCTCGCCAATTTAATTTAAATTAATTAAAAAGTGGACCGTAGGAAAACAGTCGAAACCTTAAAGGTCGGCTGTGTGAGTTAAGCAGTATTTTGTGGATAAATTCCGGGTTGTCTGCGCAAAGCAGTAACCGCGGTGAATAAACTGTAATCTGCAGTGTCAGTGTGCCTGGCCTGCAGATCGATCGGATAGTGTGCACCGAGCCATTGTCAGTGGCTAGGTGAGATAACGATCTCCAGCAGCTCGATAAAGGCAAGCCGCAAGCGGTAGCCAAAATCAGCAGCTAGAGATAATTGACCGTGGAAAAAGGTAAACACCGGCAAACGGTGATTGACCTGTAAGTTAAAATTACGGCAGCATGCAAAGTGCAGCAGAGTAATTCTAACAGTTAATTTAACAGTCGAACCGCAAAGGTCGGCTGTGATTAAATTTTCGCGGAACAGTTCAAACCTCAAAGGAGGACTGTGGAGCGAATCTGAATTGCACAATCGCAATTTTCGAAGTTTACGGTAATCAGTAGCACAATAGTTACTGTACGTACCGTAAGAATGTCCAAACCAGAAAACAGGAACAGGGCGTTAAGCCAGGTTCCAGAAGATAAGGTCATAATTGGTCCATATGAAGCAACAGCGACACAAACTAGATTTAAATTTAAACCGGATGAAATTCCGTTAGGATTAATGTACTTCGCCTTGAACTTGGAGGCACCCAATCAAACGAGAGCTAACTGTGGCAAGGCATGGGTAGATTTCCAAGAGTTGGGGAAATCAGTGGATCCAAACAAAAAGGCTCCGTTTTATTATAATGGATCGTATGAGACTGAAGGATGCACTCCGGAAGTCTACCTGGATATTACCGATGATCAGTTAAATGAAGCAGTAAAGAAGGCCTATAAGTGGTTACATGAATACAAGAAGAATGTGGAAGATCGTAGACAAGCGGCCATCATTGCGTTTAAAGCAACTGCAAAAGTTAGAGTAAAACCAAAGGAGTCCGTTTCTGACGATCGACCCAAAAGAATGGTAGCGGCA